ACTTGTACTCTTCGCCAAGTATAATTAGAATGATCAAGTCAAGGAGGATAAGGTGCGCAGGGTATATAGCACGAATGGGGGATAGAGGAATGCATGTAGGATATTGGTTGGAAAGCCAGAAGGAAAGGGACCACTGGGAAGACCAAGGAGTAGGTGGGTGTACAATATTAAAATAGATCTTAGAGAGACAGAATGGGTTGGTATGGATTGGATGGATCTGGCTCAGGACAGGGAACAGTGGAGGGCTCTTGTGAAAACGGTAATGAACCTTCGGGTTCAATAAAATGCTGGGAAATTCTTGAGTAGCTGCAGATTTGGCTTCTCCTCAAGAAGGGCTTAGCTCCATAAGTAAGTAAGTAACCAGAGCCATTTAACACAGTTTATTCTCTTTTCTCTGTGGTCTCATTGACATTAATACTAATTGAAAAAGTTAATAACGTAATATTGCTTATTGTCATTCTGAACAGAAAGTGAAGGTGTTACTAAGTTCCGCCACGTTAGACCTGCAACCTGTTGTGGAGCCTCGCCCTGGCCCAGCGGTACAGCTCAGCATCAACAGCAAACCCGTTCTCCTTACGTCATCCCACGCAACAGAGCTCCGTGATGACGGAGAACTGTTGGGCTTAGTGTACGAATTCCCAAGTGGTGCGGTACAGCTCACCTTGCCGAATAACAACTTGGTGCTTGTGTACGATGGAGCGAGAGTTATGTTGCAGGCCAGTAATGAGTACAGCCACCAAGTTAGGGGGCTCTGTGGAACTTTCGATGGGGAACCCTTTACTGACTTCAAGACACCAAGGAACTGTCTCGTCACTGAACCATCCATACTTGCTGCCACTTATGCAATCGACGATAATTCTTGCGAAGCCCCAGTCAGAAACATGAAGAAAAACGCCAGTGAAGAGTTATGCGTTCAGGAAAGGAGCAGCTTTGCTGATGTGATAGCTAACGGTCAACCAAAAAGTTCTCGCCAAAGAGGAATCCAAATCAATCAATCCGTCAATGACTCATCCTCGTTTTCATCTTCTGAATCAATTTCTGACCATAACTCCAATTCAAATTATGAAGTGAATTTATTTCCTCTATCTAAGAGACCTTCAAGACTGAACAACAAAATCTCCCGCCATAATCCGAAACACGTTTCAAACAGCATATCATACAAGACAGTTATCATTACAGACAACGAAGAAAGTTGCTTCAGCAAGAATCCTCTGCCAGCTTGTACAACAGGCTACCACATCACAGCAACTGTGAAGAAGTACGCGCCATTCTTCTGTACTGCTGAGAGACACCTTGCCGAACGTTATATTAAACTGGTGAATAACGGCTTCTTTCCTGATTTCCGTCTGCATAAAGGACTCAGACCTATCGCCGTGCTTGTTGCTGCTAAATGTGAATTAAACCCAACAGCTTAACAATAATGTCGCGTCCCTAGAATCTGCGTAATAACTCATAAAATTAATATATGTAAGCATTAAATTATTTTACGAGGCTCTTACTGTCACAAATGGAGATTCTGTGCATTTCACTGAACATTCAACATAGAAAAGGATCGATAATTCTTCATCATATCGATATTTCATGGTGACATTACGTTCTTGTTCAGTGTAATAAATTTAAGCAAAATGTCAGGAGCTCAAGCAGTTAGTCTTCGGTTCCCAAATGCGACGGTCCGGGTTCGATTGAAAGTCAAGTCACGTAAGGATTTATTGTGGACAAAGTGGCTCTGGATCAGGTATTCTCCGAATAGTCCGGTTTCCCTTGCCTGTTCTTATTCTAACTAATGCTCTGTACTCAATAATCGGTTCAATATGACCCTTGTGGCCGGTTTACCAAGGGAACTCAGTCTCGTCCCACCCTATGAACTAGAAAAAAGGGAAAGCAGTCTTCTGGGATGTGGCGCCGTGTAGATATTATCGCTTCCATCTTCAGGGTAGAAGACAAGAAGGAATCCGCGAGCGAACCAGAGTGAGCAGGTGGTCATTATTGTCTTTTAACCTGAAAATGGAGGCGATACGTCGGTTAACACAATATCTACACGGCGCCACATCCCACAAGGCTGCTTTCTTCATAATCACCGTCGGCACATTTCATAAGTGCCACCTGGTGTCTATGTAACACTACATATAGTGTGCGAGAATTCAGAAGCTATAGATCATGATCATTTTAGTTTAGGAAAAACTGAAGATATATTTTGTGAGGAAAAATTGAGGCGCGTATCCTGCGTGACATTGTAGGATTCAGTTAAGCTATGTTGTAAGAGTGACCGCCTCTGTGGTCTATTCCTGGCTACAGGTCCAGAGGTCCAGGGTTCGGTTCCCGGCGCTATCAGATGTTCTGAGAAGTAGTGGGTCCACTCAGCCTCGTGAGGATAACTGAGGAGCTATTTCAAGGAAATATTGGCTGCGGTCTAGAAAACCGAAATTAACGGCCGAAAGTATTCGTTGCACTGACCACGCAACCCCCTTCTATCCGCTTAAGCTACGGAGTTTGTTTGTTTTTCTTACGTAAGAGTTCAAACAGATTTTGTCTGAGGTTCAAAGATGTTAAAAATGCGATTAGTTTTGATTAAGATTACATTAAGTTAGGTTATGTTCCGTTCTGTGAACTTTTGCGTATGAAATAATTTATGGGCTATATTAGGCAATATCCATCGAATTCCATGTTTTGTGTGATATGAGCCTGAGGTCTATGGTCTTCGTAAAGACCACTTGCTGTACATTGTATTTGAAGATAATTTTAGAGCTTAAAATATTGAGGGGCAGACTAATGTAACATTACATATGTTATGTGAGATCCATATCTCATGAAAATAAGAACTTGGCACTGTTCAAACTTTCAGTGTCGTAACTTTCAACGTAACTTAAAAGAAACTCGGATAATGCATTAATGTCTACTGTATATAAAAACGTAAACACAAATTTCAATATCTAATTTCAGAAAATAGGCAACAAGTAAACAAATTTCATGTATTTAATGCCTGATTGATAAGTAACTGGACTGACTTACCCCGAATACGTTGCATTGAGCATGGACGCTGCCCAGAGTAGGTCTTGCCATGTTACTGCGTGCACACGGGCTCTTACAAGCCATTCCTTTTCTTCACTCACAGGTGGTCTGCGTTGAAACTCAATGCTTTCAGAAGTTGCCAAATTAATGATGCCAGAGATTACAGAACAGTGTGTGTGCTCCATACTCTGAAAGGAAAACAAAATCTATCAACAGAAACAGTACCATTTGGAGACGTGAGAATGAACAGAGCATTGCTTGAGTAGTTTCAAAAGGCGGAAAAAAAAAAATCCATTGAAATTGAGGGGCATCCAGCTCGCTTCTCAGATAGGGGAACATATGCGTGTGTGTGTGTGTGTGTGTGTGGGATTTGTCAGAATATTTACTAGGTATGAATTGGCAGACTTCACGAAACCAATATAACTCACTACGCCGTACAGAATCGATTAGGCTGCAGTCTCGTCTTGTAGAGAACTCAGACCATTATTGAGGAAATGTTTTGCAAATTGTAACAAGAAATCGTTTTCGCCTTCGTTTAGAAATGACAAGTTGACATCTTGATACTCAATTATTCTCTGTGACAGGCAGGTGTCACACAGATATTCTTGGGAAAATGCCAGGTCTTCGATATACAGAGCACTGATTGAACGCGGGTCCTAGTTGAATGGGTGGAGCCCATTGTTTCTAAGCGTTGAATTGAGACGTTAGCTGAACTGGTCAGTGTTTTCTCAGAAATTCTGCATCCAGAGTCCTTGTTCGTGTCTTTTATTCAAAGTATATTTTAACAACTAGAAGTTTATTTTCGAATCATCGGACTTGAGCGCAACAACAATCACCTATGAGTGTGACTTGTAAACTTTACATTTACACCGATAAATCTGGCACAATAATATTATATTATTTTAAACATGTTTCAAAATGAACGACGTAAATACATTTTTTATGGAACTGAACTCTATTTACTATTATTTATTATTATTCTTATAATTGAATCCATTTGGTACTGAGGCCACTACTGACCTATTGTACCAGACCCAAATGATCTATACCCCGTGGCCTGTATTCCGCAAGCGAACTATACCGACCGAGCGACCGCCGCTTGTCGGCGAAGTTAGTGCCAACTATTGCGGATGGAGGGTGTCACGTGGTCGGCGCACTGGATCTAGACGGCAGTTAATGTCGGTTAATGAATGGTCCAGTGATTGAGACTAGCTCTTTCTAACGGGCCCAACTGAGTAGGTTTATCCTTCCCTACCCATCTGAAGACGGAGACATATTCAGTCTTCGAAACGTCGTGATCTTTGTCTTTTACATACCAGACGATGGATGAAGTCCAAAACAAGCCAAAAGAAGTTCTCCTCTTAGTTTCCCCCTCAATCTGGTTTAAGGTAAAGGAATTAATAATGTAAAATAGGGCTGTCTACATGTCAGTCTAAGAGACGGAATGTGACATGAAGAGATCTATCCGTCCTCTAGGTTATATTACTATTTTTAGATAATACAAACATGTCAACTAGCGAAGCTACTGAGAATCTGACAGTGTCATTATTAATAACAATAAATTGGAGTAGTCTTGGCCTATCACAATGCCACCCTATATTCATTCGTATGACATAGGAAAACCACAAACACGTGAAGTGTGCAGTATTACCTCCTACCAGGGTATGAATTGGGTATCAACTTGTGTTCCGGTTTGTTCACTAAATCTTACACATGTCATGTTTCCCATTGCCAAGCAATCCAGGCGAACAACACAGTACAGCGACGGGCTACCGGCTGGGCAGTGGGGGTTCAATTCCCGGCAGAGGCAAGAGACTTTTCTTTAACCCACAGCGTCTACACCGACTCTGGGGCCCAACCAACCTCCTATGCAATGGGTAGCAAACCGGCAAGGTCCCACTCACATCAAACTACTGCCAGGGTCGAGAACAGTGGAGCCATACCTCCATTCCCCCTTATGTCTTAATGACGTGGGAGAACTGGGACAGCTTCACGTTACCGTTGTCATGTAACATGGGAATATGAGAGTCGGCCTGAGGACGAAAATCAAGTAACGAGGGCTTGTTGCAGAGGCTACTGTGGCTTCTTGTGAGTTACGGTTCTTTTGTTCACATTGAGTGGATTAAAGAAGACACGAAAAATACCAACCTCGAGTTTCGATTTGCCGTCCTTGTGTATGTAAGGCATCACGAAGCGTATTTGTTATGTAAATACAGTGTTCAAGATGTATGCTTATTTATCCAGGGAATGTGAGATTCGCGTTCGAATGAAGATAATTGTTTTGCCACCAATGACTGGGCACTGGGTCAGTGTTAGCGGGACTGGCGACGCGCCAGGCCGGGAGAGGCAGGCAGCGGGCGACCCCTAGTTCCTCTTTCGCTCAGTTTTCCTAGTTCCCTAGTCGCATGGTCCCGCGCGCGCGAGGTCTATCTTACGTGCGTGTGTGTGAGCGTACAGATCGTGGATTACTCACATTAATTGCTTCAGATTTTGTGTTTAGTGTTACTTCAAGCAAGTGACTGGCTGGCTTCTAGCTGCTATCAAATGACAAAATAATTCAGAAGGATAACTCTATTAAATATGTGGTAAGTACAGTAGATATCATTATATCAGGGTATCACATAACAGAAAAATTTGTTCTAATTATTGTTTACTAAGATATTTATTCTAATTATTTTGAGTACAAGATTTGTGTATAGCTGATAATTACTGACTTCTTGGAAACGCAGCATAACAGGTGGACGAGACTCAAGTGTGTTCATAACGCAAATAACAATCTAGACTTTTCTTGTTTATTTATGTTTTGCTTAACGAACCTGTCGATAGCTCGGTTTGATCAGTCAATAAAGAGACGGGCTGCTGGCTGGAGGGCCTGGGCTCGCTTCTCGGCAGAGGAAATTAATTTTCTCTGTTTCACAGTGTCTCAACCTGCTGTGAGGCCCACCAATGGGAAACGTGGGCTCATTCCCCGGGGGTATAGCGGCCTGGGAGAGAAGCTGACCACTCACCTCCAGCTAGTGTCTAGGTCAAGAATGGTGGAGCTATACCTCCACTCTCGAACTGAGCTTGGATTGACAGAGGCCTTGTATACATTATACATAGAAATAGGAATGGAGATTAAATTTGTAAATATATGTAAATACTGACAATGGACTTACTAATACGGACTATGACTGATAAATGACAGACCCGACCTCTCGTCAGAGAGGGCGCCCCAAATGGACAGGATAGTAACTCTTATATAAGGAAACAAACCAAAAAAATCTGGTCATGAGTGCCAGATGGGGCTCGACACCAAGATAGACAGACTGACTGACCGTCAGTCGCCATGTGACTTAGATTTGGATTTGGAGAAAGTCAGTTGAGTTGAGTCAGTCAGTGAAGAGTTACAGGACTGATGCTCTTCAGTCGTTGTGAGCTGCTGTTAGAAGCTGGTAGCTGAGGCCGGGGACAGTTTTGGAACCCAGAGGCTGGGGAACGTCCGTTGTTGGAGGCCGCTACCGAGCAACGGCTAGGGAAGACTGAGAAGGCTTTAGATGTGCCGTAGTTACAGTGATCTTAGGAGTGTGTAAACGTTCCATAAATCCGATCATCAATCCTAAACCCGTCTATATTTGTAACAGTATTCTCTGTTGGCGAGTTTCTGATATTTATGACACTAATTTGTATGACTCAAGATTTTTATTCCCTCTTTTCAATCATTCAAAATAAGTAATCAGACCGCATGAGAATACTCGGAGGCTTCGCTGTTTCTGAGACTTACACGATTCAATTGGAGCACAAAAGAGGAGTCGCTACTAGGAGTGGTCTTGAGTGCCCAGGGTATTCATAAGATAAGTTTACAAGCGGGCACTCACAATTTTTTAGAATAATCTGATGAAATAAGTAGAATTTGAATAAAAGTAATGAAGTTATATTTCAAATCTCACATGCTCAGAACTA